TGGCTGGTGGGATGCTTCCGAGTTTGGCAGGGCACAGGTCCAGGTGTCCCACTCTAGAGAGAGCTGCTGCAGGTCGCTCTTGACAGATGCCTCTGCTACGTCCTCTCTAGGAAACTGAAGGGTTGCAGAGCCTAAAAGCAGGGAGGGGCAGAGAATAGACTTCAAATGCTCCCAGTGAAAAGGTGTGGTGGAAGGAGATGGGTTTGGGAGCTGATAGAGGCCTGACGGAAAGCTCAGAAGCTGCCACATGGATGTGCTTTTAGGGCTAGGGACTGAAAGGGTTTTATCTCAGTTGCTGGGTATCATCTGTGTGGTAAGACTGGGCATTGAAACCTAAAATAGAATGCCTCTTGCTTGGCTGCCACTTCAGGCTGCTGCCTGACTCTGGGGAAGGGGCTGCAGTGTGACTGGGTCCATCACCCCTGCCTATCTCTGCTCAGGTACAAGGAACATGAGGATGGCTACATGAGACTGCAGCTGGTCCGTTACGAGAGCGTGGAGCTGACAGAGCAGCTACTGAAGGACAGAGAGAAGCAGGGAGAGGTGCTGGATGGCTCAGCTGAGTGTGTGATGCTGTCTGACGGTTAGAGCAACCTGCAAGGCATCATTCTGGAGGCCCCGGCAGAGGCTTCCCTCGTGGGAAACAGCATTGATGAGCTGCAGGTGGCCCCGCTGCACCCAGTCCCTTGCTCTGCTGACAACCCTGAGCCAGCACAAGTGAGTTCCTTCTCAGGAGCAGCGCTGTCATCAGAGCAAGAACCCGGCACCCCAACGAACCCTATCATCCATGTGGTGAACCGGACCAATGAGCACGGGGACAATGAGACTGTGTACTATGTCATGGCCAGCATGTCTTCAGAGGAGCAGGTGGCAACACCTGGCGGGCTGCCTGTGGAGCTGGAAGAGAACGTCATGGACCGTCTGCAGAAGACGGCTGAGGAGCTGGGCATCCAGATTGTGTAAGATGCCCACCTGCCTGAGGAAAACGGGCCGCTGTGGGTCTTGCAGGTGAGGGAGGCTGTAAAGTGCCTGGGGGCGAGGGCTGGGCTTGTCTTCACCTGCCTGCACCTGGCAGACCTCCTCCTCTGCTGCCCTAGCCTCACTGGCTGCTGGCTTTGGTCAGCATGAGGAGAGGGGAAAGGCAAGTCTCAGAGTTGTGGGTCAGGTGATGTGAGCTGGAAAGAGCTGTCTGTCACCTCCTTTTGGGGATTAGGGACTAACAAGCCTCTCCCACCCTTCCAGGAGATTTGGCCTTAGCCTGACACAGGCTTCGTCAGTCATGGGTGACGTGGTCCCTGCTGCTGTGCAGCTCAGTTGTGAGCCCTTGCCGAGCCTGGTCCTCAGCTGGGATCTCCCCAGCAAGGATGACGGGCCGAGCAGGCACTGTTGCTGAAGCCTCTTCCCTGGGCAGATGTGTGGCCCTTAGCAGGCCTGTTCTCCCCCAGCCGTACTTCGTCTCCAAGGGGTGGCACACTGTATTTCTGCCTGCATCACTCCCCTGCACGTTATCTTTCCTAGGTCATTCAGCTGGTGCTGTTGGTGGCATTTGCACTGCTGATCCCGTTACGCTGCACCGATCTCTGGGAAGAGAGGGCTGGAGGTGCTCTCCCTTACAGGCTACTGCTGCCCTGCAGCACTGGGGGACGGGGAGCTTCTTGCAGCTTTTGCTCCTGAGTTTCCTCCCCACATTGGGGATTGGGCTTGTGGTTGGGCAAAGTGTACTTCGACAAGACAAATAAAAGTCAGACTGATAGACCAACCAGTGTGGTGTTGGTTTTAGCCCAGTTCCTGTGTGTTGTGGTGAATTGCCTAGAGCCTGTGTGGGAAGAGGGCACTGAAGAGCTGCCAGGATCTCGATGTGTCCTGTGTGCCTCTGCTTGGTGCAGCTAGTGACTGCCTTGGCGAGCGTGTTGTTCTGGGTCCCAGAGGTGGCACTGGAAGGCCTGGTTTAGCTCTGGCACTCCTGCTCCCTGCTGTCCTGATTTGGGTTTGATTTTTTTTGCTGCCTCCTTCAGGGTGTGAGTATCAGCTGGCTGCAATGTCAGTTTTCTGAATGCAGAGTGGCCTGGGCTTGTGACAGAGCCAGCTTTCACTTTGTCGAGTGATTTAAATGAGGATAGTGAAAAGCTGGTGTCCTTGTAGTGGCACTCAGACCCTCACTGCCCTGCGTGCAGAGGTGATGTGCCCAGATGGATGCAGGGAGGTGCCCTGGTGATCTCCTGGGCTGGATGCTGACTTTGTCACCTCATTCCTTTCTCGAGCAGTTCAGCAAAAGCTGTTAGAATTCCAGGTTAGTGGAGGAAATCACTTTATACTAAACCCTTGGCCATCTGCTCACTTTCTAATTACAAACACTGTGGGTGTGACTCATGGCTGTCCCCTTCGGATGAGGTGGTAAGAGCAGCCCCTTAGGTCTGTGCTCTGGGTGACGGGCATCATGCTCTGCGGTCGCAGTACGGAGGGACTGGGTAAGGAGCAGGGATGAAGTTGGGAGCGCTGCCCAGCACAGGCTGTGTTGGAAGGTTTCTTGGGCCTGATTGCATGTGTGAAGGACAATGTGCACCCCTGCCCCACAACACTGCTCTCTCCAGGGACAGGGATACAGAGGCCATCCCGTGGGCTGGTGGGTCGTGGGTAGGGCCGTGCGCTGGGCCCCTTGTGCTCAGGCTGAGGCAGGACAGGAGGCAGCTGGCTGTCCCAGCAGCCCCGGCAGCAGGCACTGCAGGAGGATGCTGCTAGCTGTGGGGAGAGCATCCCTGGGCTGCTAGCGTGTGATGTGGCTGGGCCTTGCCCAGCCTTCCCTGCTCCCGCCTGGCCCTTGCTCCCTGGCACTTGGCAGAGCTGGGCTGAGGATATCTTCAAGAGAAGGGCCTCCTGCCAGGATTGCGCTCGCAGCGCTTCCGGCTTGGCCCTCTTTCCAACACGCAGGCCTTGAGGCTCTGCTGCCAAAGCCATGGCTGCCTCTGCATTTTCTTGCACTACAGTGCTCCTGCACAACAGGAGTGCTGGGTGTTGGGAGCGGAGGTGGGGCCGTGGTGGCTGGGAGGAGATGTCCCTTTAAACACTGGATGCTCAGAGGGTAATCTGCCAGAGATTATCTGCTGGGGAGAGGATTGGCATAAAAGGGAATGTCTCCTCCCTCCATGTCCTACAGCATTCCCTGTCCGGTGTGTATAGAAACGAAGTTCACTTTCTCCTGGGCAAGCAGAGGGGGCCTTTGATTTGAGAGCCAAGGGGAGCTATGAGGCTGGGCCTCCTCTTTCTCACCATACTGGCCACGCTGGTCATCTGCGAGGACCCAGAAGGTAACAGGGTGTCTAGGGGAAGAAGGGCTTACAGGGTGGCCCACAGCTGCTGGTGGCACCTGGCTGCACTGGTGCTCCCCAGCAGGGAGCAAGACCTTTGTCACATCCCTGTGTTGAGGCTTGGCACAGGGGAAGCGGGAGCTGGCTTGGAGAAGAGCTGGGTGGATGCAGTCCTCACCACAGCAGGGGCTAGAGGGTGGCTGAGATGAGCCTTCACTGGGCTTCTGCCACCTCTCTACGGGTCTCTGAGGGCTGGGGAGCTGGTGAGAAGGGTGGTCCTTAGCCCCCAGCCCAGCCACGCTCTGTCT